AAAAAAAATTACTTTAACCTTTTAATTCTTTCAAAACAAACTCATAAACAACAAATGTTATACAACAGGCTGGTACAACTCGAAAAAGTGCTGGAACCATACCTTTATAAAATCCACTAATACCTTCCCTACTATAAGTTCTCTTAATAACATCTAATACACCATTATATTGTTGATGTTGATCTTGTAAACGTGTTCGTACAACTTGATATGGATATGTTGTACTAGCAGCAACTAATTTCGATAAAGCAGAAAACATTAATATAACTGGAGTTGAAAATTCTGTTGTATGAAAAGTTTTAACATAAAAATCTTTCATTTGTTCATAAGATACAAACTGTATTGTACCATGAATTGTACCGAATATACCAGGTGTAAGACCTTTATAAAATGCTTTCATACCTTCTAATTTATAGATTTTTCGTATACAATCAAACATATTTTTATAATAAACATTCGATTTAGAATCAGAATATTGTAAACACATACGTGTTTTAATAACCCATATTGGATTTGTTATACTTATTGTTATTACACCGGCTATTGTAGAATAAATAATACGATCTTTAAGTGTTAAATTTTTTCGTTTATATTCATTCGTATTTAAAACATCAATTGTATTATAAAGAAATAAATACAGACCCCATGACATACCATTACCAAGAACATTTGGTGTTACACCTTGATATAAACCATGAAGCAAACCTTTTTCACGATAGATTGTACGAAATGCATCAAATAAACTCGTATAACGAGGTCGATATGGTAGAGAAGAATTTTGAATTGATGATTTTGTTTCAGTTACTTGAAAACGAATTTTAACTAAATCAAATGGATGAAGAATTACTGATGAAACAACACCACCACTAAGACCAGCAAGAAATTGATTATATTGAATTGTTGATAAAACACGAGAAATTAAAGTATCATTCATCTAGAGTAAATATTAGGAATTACTTTTTATAAACTACTAATTATTAAATTCTCTTCAGAAATTCGTAATCACTGAGATCTATGTATTTCAAAAAATTGTACATGACTCATTTATATCGAAAAAGGATAAATCTAACGAACGACTATAAATACGAGAATATCATATACATGTTCGTTTCTTTTATTATCCTTTAATATATTGAAAATTGATCAAAACACGAGAAAATAATAATCATAATAAAAAAATTTGATTTTCTTTAATATATATGTATGTATATATTTATATTTATATATGCTTTTTTTTTCCTTTATATTATTATTGTCTAGTATCTTGAAGAACATGATCAACATCAAGAGAAACAATAAGTTTATGTTTAATATCACCAAGACAAACAAGTTTATTCATATCATTATTTGTTCCATGTTCAGTTGTATTATTATTATTAGTTGACGCCATTTCTGTTACCATAACATTTTGTAAGAATGATGTTGGTTGTCCAATATCAACATCAAGATATGTATCATCATTTAATTTTAATCGACATTTACCAGATTTATATATTTGTAATTTACCAAGAAAACCATCTGGTAAATCACTTAATGAAGTTAATTCAGGTTTTGTTGATGATGATGATGTACGTGTACATGGTAAAACATCGGGAAATTGCATAAGAATAAGTTGTGATGGATCAAATATAGGTTCGTCGGATTTAGGAATATCTGTTGGTTCAATTGGTTCATCTTTAACAATTGATTTTGTTGATGTTTGTAGTTTTTGTTGAGTAAATAATTCTATAAATGAATCAATATGTTTTGAAGATGTTGAAATAGGTTCTTTAATTTTTTGATTCTGTCCTGGTTCTTTTTTAACATCAAATACAGATCTTCGTTCAGCTATTGGAATTTGACGTGGTTCATATTCTTCATCAATTTCATATTTAAGACCATCGACATCACCAATTAATGTTTTAGCTGATCCAAGTTTGTTTTTCAAATTAGGCATTCTTGTATTTAGTTTTGAATTTTCAGTTTTAATCGATGACATTCGAGACGAAGATGATGATGCTGTTGCTGATGATGTAGGTATTTGAGCATTACCTTGAAAGATACCTTCCATTTGCACAAAATTTCCACGATTATTATGAGCACCACGACCATAACCACCTCCGCCACGAGGATTATGACCTCGATTACCATTAAAATTATCTCTTCTATTCATTGATGATGAATCATTATTTGAGCTGGATGGTGAGATATTAACAGGAGAATCAGTTTTATCTTTATTTTTTGAAGCAGTTAAATTTGGTGTAAATTTAGGTGTAGGACGTGCACTAGCACCAGTTCCAGTGCCAGCACCTAATTTATTTGTTAATTGTTTCATTAATTTATCAGTATCCTGAGTTGTTGTTGTTGTTGAAGTTGTTGGATGTGTTAATGATGCACTACGAGATGAAGTTGCAGATGATGATGAGGAAGTTCTGTCGTTTGGCTTAGCACCGCCGCCACGACCGCGTCCTCGAGTAGACATATCTGAAAATAAATGTTACTCTCTTTTTTTTATTTCATCAGAATAAATTAAAAAATAAATAACGTAACTATTGCAATAGATTTTCTATTATTCAATGTAATGCCTACTTGACGGTTTTACTTACGATATTGTGATGTAGGTGATTCATGGATTGAAGATTCAACGAATCAACGACATATAGCGTTATCTCATATTATTTAAATGTAACGTCATAAGTTAAATTTTGATTCAAAAATAGATTTTATTATTCTTTGAGATAAAACTATTTTATTTATTTATACTTCTATAAACTGATTTTATTCTTATGAATATTAACGACATCTGAAGGATTTTTAGGACAAATTTACAAGCACATGTGATGAGTTTTTATCAAATGCGAAGTATCGATTATAGATGCATATCAGATTATTTCTTATCGCTAATTTTTAAAATATTTATATATGATCAGCAGATAGGAACACATTTTTTCTTTAGTTAAACTAGTATACACTTTTTAACTACTCATATTTAAATAAATCTTTCTAATTCGAAAACATCCTATACAATGAAGAACAACTTCATCCAATACTTTTTTTTAAGTCAATAATTCTCAGTACTTACATAAATAGAAATCATACAATTGTAAAAACAGTTTGATGATTTTAATCCAATTCTACGCTTGTATCGCCTCTTTTCAAAACTTAATCCTCATAACTAAAAATATACTTAATAGCAATTACATTTATATTTTGATTTTTGAAAGAAATTATTAACAAATCTTCTTATGTATAAGTTTTCCTCAATTGAAACTATATGATCATCATTTTGAATAATTGTATTTTTTTTCATTATTACGCATATGGATTTTTCACCATTATACAAAAGCTAAATATTTTCCCTTGAATGATTTTTTTTGTTTCGTTTATTATTCGATATGCTTCCGATAGAAAAAAAAGGTATGTGTTAAAAATTGTTTGAATCCGTGTCATAACATTGATTCTACTATTCAAATCAATCATAGCAATGCTGTCAATTTCTTAACAGTGTCTTTCTGTTTACACCATTGATTGGCAAACAGTTGCGAAAAATATGAATTATAAGCTATATAACATATCTCAAGATTAGCCAAGTAAATAACCGGATGATATTCAGACATTAGCACCTCAAAAAAACAATGTATTTTTGGATTGAATCATATTCATACGCATCCGTTCGATTTATTCAATAATATAGAAGATTGATAATCAATATTTTGTTTTCAAGGTACATGCTAATGAAAGACGGAAAAAAACAATGTACGTGCTACATTTATTCTTCGATATGTTTGATCAAATAAGGGTGGTACTAAATTCTACGTAAGAATTCGTTTGAAGATACACGTGTGCATGTAACACCTTTGCTTGATCAACTATAAGCATCATTTGCCGTCTTGATCATATACATGCTAAGTATATACTCTAATCTGTAATCCTCTGTTCTCAGCATGACATTTTTTTTCTGCCTTTTTTTTCTTCAAATCTTATTCAAGAAAAAAACAAATTAAACAACACCTTTTTCAATAGCAACAGCCATTCACTTGCACTGCTGGTGGCCTATGTCTATATATCGTTTCCTTCGATGATTAAGTCACACCATCTTCTTCAATCATCAATAAGATGTATACTTGTGGTTTCTTAAGCAAACTTAACTATGTGGATCAATGTATGCATAGAATGACAAGGCTTCCTTTGAACACATTTTCAATCATATAATGCCGCACGTTCGTGCATACGCGTTTATTTGTACAAGCAAATTGAGATTTTCATCGGTTGTTAACTGTCGTTCTCCATGGCATCGTCAAGTTTGTTGTACGAATTCATTTCTCATCATCATCGTCATGCACAGTTATCGTCAATATTGATGAATCTGTCGAGCAAATATTAATCCCGAGGTTTTTCTTTCCTTTTCTTTTCTTTTCTTCTTTCTTTCCTTTTTTATTGTCAATCATTGATAGTGAAAATATTCTTACTACTACTAAAGAAATGATTGGTGTTCTTCGTAAGTTAATAGAAAATGGGAATTGCTACCAATTCCGTGCTAGTTGTCTCATTGCTGACAGGAAACATTGAGAAACAAAGAAACGCACGCTCGCGCACATTCAAGTTGACATTTCCGCTCGTGTAGATTTGCTCAGCTGTCTAAAATTCCGTTATTACTCAGCATGAGATGGTCACATCATGTCAAAAAATCATCATTTTTTTTCTTTCAAAAAAACAAAAAAAAAGAAGACGACGTCAATGACAACAACGATAAAGGCGAAAAAAAGAAAAAAGCCGAATAAAGGGAGAGAGAAAAAAACCGTAATAGAGAAAAAAAAACATTAGAATACAAGCGAGAGAGGAAAAAAAAGAAACAACGACTGTTATACAAAGGTGACAAAAAAGAAATGATATGTGTGTATATACAAACATATCATATCAGTTCCATGAATGATCATTATAAGTACCACCTGTAGTAACCACTTGTGACGGTGGCGGTGGTGTTGTACTTCCAGTACTATGAAAACGTTGTTGTAGATCATCGGAATCAAGTCCTGTCGATTCAGGAACTGTTGCTGGCGGGCCACCTGGACCACTGGCTAATTCATGATGCATAGTAAATGATAGATCTATTATTAAAGAAAATAAAATTTTTATTTTTATATTCAATATATACACATACCTCCTGGTGGTGGTGGAGGTCCTTGTGGTTGTGGTGGTCCATAACTAAGTCTCTGATGCAATTCTTGTTGCATAAGATAATCATTATAAGTTTGTGATGGCGGTCCTTGATACATAAAATCACCTTGAAATCCTTCTGTAAAAAACATTTTTATTATAGAAATAGTCCAATCGATAGAGAGAGAGAGAAAAACAAGTGTATTCATACCTGGTAAATAATTTAAACCCGGATGAGGAATCATTTCAGTTTCATCGAATGGTCTACCGGATGCAACACGTCGATAATAATGTCTACGTGGTCCACCACATGTTATTGATTGTTTAATACGTCTTTCTTTTGAACGACGATTTTGAAACCATACTTGTATGACACGCATGGCTAAACCAGTTTCACGTGCTAATTCTTCTCTCGTATGCCGTGTTGGTTTAGGCGTTGTGGCAAAAGCTGATTTCAATTGTTCAAGTTGTTTAGTTTTAATTGTTGTTCTTGGCCCACGCTTTTTTGGTCCACCTCCATTTAAATTTGTATTATCTGTATTATCAAGATTTGCTGATGAATTCTTTTTTTGATGATGACTATGTGATGATGAACATCCACTTGAAGAATTATTTGTATTTGTCATACATATTTGATCATCATCTTTACAATCTAATGAACAATCCGACATTTGTATATCACCATCATTCATAATCAATTCATCTTCTTTTAAACAATCTGATGAACTTAAATTTGAATCGGGTGTACTTGTTAATAATGTTGATGTTGATGGTTGAAGTTGTTGTTGTAAGGAAGAATTTTCTTTATCAAAATCATGTATTGATGATGATGTGTTAATTGTTGTTGCTGTAGTTGTTGATAAATCACTTTCATTTTTTATTTCAATATTCGTTGTTGATAAACGATTTTGTTGTTGTGATCTTATATGACGATTAGGTGATGTTAATTTACCATTTAATATTGACGAAGATTTACTAATATCATCATCAAATTCATCTGTAACAAAAAAAACAGAATAATTTAGCTTTATGATTTTATTGAAAAAAAAGTTTTTTTTACCAGAAAGATTTTTACATATACTTTTTGTATGTGTAAGAAAATCATCTTTACACATAAAACGATTATCTTGTGTTAAATGTATTTCTTCACCTGTATTCATTTTACGTGAACAAATACAACATTTATAACAATCATAATGATACAATTGATCCCATGCACGTAAATAATATTCTCCTTGACCAATTTCTTGTAGACAACCAGAACAACGACGACACCAATAACGTCTTAAAAAAACAAAACAATCAATTTTCTTTTTCTCTTCTTCTTCTTCTTTTCAATTTTTATCTCATAAGATCTTATATCAATATCAATCATTTTTTATGTTATAAGCATATAGAAAAACAAATTAATACAATTGAATTATACAGCCTTAGGAGGAGGTAAACCACTCAATAATTGTCTTGCTTCTCCCTTTATTTAATAATAATAGTAATAATAATCATACCTAAAGAAATCTCGTTGACAATATAGTTTTCCATCGCGTGTATAACATTTTTCAGTTAATGGTTGACCACAATCAACACATCGAATACAATTTGCATGCCAAACACGATCTAATACTTCATAAATATATTGATCTTGTATTGGTTCACGACAAGCAGCACATGCAGAAAACGTCATCTAGAAGAAAAAATCTATTCATCAATTCCTTGTTCTAATTCCATCGAATTGTGTGAAACACAAAATAAGAAAGATGAAGATAAAGAGAAGACGACGGGTAATTGATAAGAGTCAATTTTTTTTTCTAAAGAAAGTCAGAAGATTTTAATCCTTATGCTAATCTTCAAGTAAATGAAACGACGGCGGTATGAGCAAAAAGAAGCAGATAGCTTACGGGTACAAAATTGATTCTTCTTCATTTTATATTTTCTGTTTTGAAAAAAAAATTATTCTTTTTTTTTTTTGTTCCTTCGTTCTTTTATCCAATAAAATAACGGTTTATTTTACAAAGATAACAAAATGATCATATCCCTTGCTAAATATATTAGCATATTAACAAGACACGTGCCTGAGTATTGAAAAGATATTTAAGCTAACTTCAAACGTTTATGAACACATCTTCTCTTGTTTTCTTTTTTTGATCTATATGACTAATGACAATACCTTATGTTATCTCTCTCTCTCGCTCTATCCCTCTCGCGTACACTCTATATTTCCTTATTCCCTTCAAATGTTAGATTTTTATCTGTTAATTTGTTTGATGGGTAACAAGGTAATATGCGCATGTCAAAATCAATCTGATTAAAATTAGAATATATATATAT